GTACAACTAAAGTCAACTTTTTCGAATGCGAATTTTGCTAAATCCTTTTTAGTAGGCGTAAATTTCATTTATCCCGATTATAGTAGGAGATACGTCATAATTACTTCATAATGCATATGTCGTGCCCGCGTGAGATGCTGGACCCGCACATAGGGATCCGCCCTGGCTGGTTTTGTGTTAAAATCCTGACAGACAAAATTCTGACAAAAATTGATTGGAATTATAGCTAATGTAGGCTAACTTGTCGGAATTTTTACCTTTCTGGGATTTTGTTTGTCTGGATTTTAACCCATAACCGCCTTGGCTGTGTCGAAAATTTATGATCATGCTATACGTAAACATCAAGATGGTTCCATTAATCTTTCTTTTAGTCCCGGATTGGCATGGGTCTTTGTGGCACGTTCAAGACCCAGATTTGTACGTACTGAGTTGGTACGTGTTCGGTGGACGGTGTGGGACCTTATGCACGTGCCAATTGGGCCGTAAATGGCTCGGGTTTTGTAGCAGTTTACTAGTTAAATCGGCACGGGATTTGGATGCATATAAATTTGGCGAATTGACTTATTATAGGCTAGATTATCGCCGAGGGGCTCAGGTTGAATCTTCTGGTAAATCTGACGAATCTGTTAGATATGTCAGATCTGTTATATATGTATATCATTTATATACGTTAGATATGTTATATATGTTAGACATGTTAGATATAACAGATAGAATTAGCGAATTAGATAGTAGCCAAAAATGTATATAAGGCCTAAGAGTTCGTCTTGAATAAAGTCAGTTAACGTTTTACGCATATAACTCATAAAAGTTCTTTATCCTAATTCCCAGATAAACTATTTTATAGTCCCGTGATCCCGAATAAGAGCTTCGTGACGTAGTCTAGAGCTCTATTTGGCCCTAATAACTCGAGCCAAGTCTTTCAACGCCTCTTTCGTGCCTTCCAACATCGGATAGAGTTTAGCTTTTTAGTGTGTGATTTGTATTAGTTTAGTATTAGTTGATATCCGTGAAACCCATATTTTGAGTTTCCGGATCGATTCTGCCCCTCACAAACATGTGGAATAAAAATTAAACCATAAATTTCACCAGTAATAAATAATATGAACAAACTAACTGCATATGAAGTAAAATTTCGTGAGGAATTTTTTTTGTTAAGACACACAGAGCAGCTTTGTTAGTGAAATTATGAGATGCAGTATTGCACTTTTTTTAAAAAAAATCATTATTGATCTTTCGCTCTCCGTCGTTCCGTATGATGTGATATGACATTCCACCCCTTGTCGTAATGTCTGTGCCATTCCATAAATGTGCCTGTGCATGCCACATGACCCCATTTAGTCCATTCTCGAAACCAACCCTGCCGCTTTTCTTATTGGGTGGATTTTTCATGAATTTAATAATCACTGATCATCAAAAGTCAAAAGGATCGTAGCGAAAGGAATTTGATAACTATTTCTAGATATTAATTCTTTCATTTTTCCCAGTACAGCCAGGGCAAAAAAACGGACACGTGATTAAAAATATAACATCGATATCATAGATCTGCAGTATCGTGTTGGACATTTTTATTGATAAAAGAAGTAAAAATTTTATTATTATAGCGTTTAATTTTTTAAGCAAAATATCTACGTTCGTACTTATTGGTGTTTACAAAAATATGCAATAGTTAGTAATTGTTCGAACTCTATATATTAATCAGTTTTCATCACAATAAATATACGAGAAGGCCGAATCAATTAATAACCATTACCTAAACAATATGTGATAAGAAGTATTATTGGATTAAGTAAAAGTAGCTTTTTATACTTGTATTCAATTGCTTACTCTAAATCGCAATGAATTCAAATAACGATTTTGGGCTGGATCAGAGTGGAAAACCTTTCTGTGCTGTTCTAAATTCAGACGATGTCCGACTTCCGTCCCTGTAATTACAATAATAGATCTTGACTTTGGTCTATCGCTATCTGTCGTGGGGTTAATGAATGTAATATTCTTTACACTCAAACTGCCCGGTGGTTTGTATAAATTATTAATGCACTCGCTTTAATTATGTTTCACTTTCGTCACTTCGCAATTCCCCAGTCTTCACCTTACATACGTCCCTCGTCGCCAACACTATTCAAATGGCACGGCACAGTATATCTGCAACTGGTTATTTACAAGTAAAGTTGAATGTGTGTTCGATCTTACAAATCGAACCTTTATTTATAACCTTTTTGTCATGTGCTATTGCATCATCGACACTATTAAACTTTAAATTACACTACGTTATCTAACATATTACACATATGACGCCGATCATTACTAACATGTTCTACCCTTGAAATGTCAGACCCCGGCACTTAGCACCACGTGCAACCAATCATTACCCGTCACTATCCCTTGCATAAATTTTAATTTTTCAGGAATTCGATTATTAAAAAAAAAATCTAAAGAAAAAATAATAACGATAAACAAACCAATCATCAAAACCAACAATAATTATTGCAATGAGATTTTGCATAAAAATGTAAAATCGATGTAGAATAAAAGGTTGTATTGCCGATAAACAAATTTCGCATTAAAAATTTATATAGCACCATCTTTTTTTTTTAAAAAAAAAAAAAAAAAAAAAATCCTCTGCTGAAAATTTTAATCATCACTAAATGCAAATATTAGGGTGAAATTTATACTTAGGAGTTTAAAATATCCTATTTCAGTTATGAAATTCCAATCAGAAACGAGATAAGTATATTTTCCTGATGATATACTACAATAAATAAAAAAAAAAAAGGTTAAAAAAAAAGTAATTAAAAATTAAAAGCAAAAAAAATGAGAAAAACAAATAAATAAAAAAAAAAGACAAAAAAAAAAGAATGAAGAAAAGTGAAGCGAAAAAAAAACACGAAAGAACGCGAAAAAAAAATTTGGGGTTGTTTGAGTAAAAAAAAAAATTTAAATGAGAGAAAGGGTTAAAAAGTATATTATTGTCTAATTTAGACTGCCTCACGCGATCACATATTCACGTAAGCACCTCAATTTAGAGCGTCCTCATGTTCGTCCCTCACATTTATTTTTCTTCATTTTTTTCACTTTTTATTTTTAATTACTTTATTTTATCTTATTTTCATTTTTTTCCCTTTTTTCATTATGACTTTTTTTTTTTCTTTCTTAGCCCCTTCTTTTTCTTTACCCTTTCTTCTTCCTGTCCTTTTTCCTCTCTTTACCCTTCTTTTTTATTTTTTTTCTTCGTCCACTCTTTTTTTCTTCATCCATTCTTTCTCTCTTCGCCCCTTCTTTTCTTTCTTCATCCATTGTTTTTTTTTTGCACTTCATCTATTCTTTCTTTACGCCCTTTTCTTTCTTTTATTTCTTCGTTCTTTTTTTTTTTTTCTTTGTCTATTCTTTTCTTCTTCGCCCTTTCTTTTTCTTCTTCGTCTATTCTTTTCACTCTTTCCCCTTCTTTTCTTCTTTCATCTATTCTTTTCTTTTTCCACCCATTCCTTTTTTCTTCATCCATTCTTTTTTTTTCGTCCATTCTTTGTCTCTTCGCATCCTCTTTTTTCTTCATCCATTCTTTTCTCTCTTTTTTTCTTCACCCATTCTTCTCATCCTTTTTCTTCGACTATTATTTTTTTTCTTTGTCTATTGATTCCTTTCTTCGCCCCTTCTTTTCTTATTCTGTTTTTTTTCCATTTTACCTCTTTTTTTACCTGCCCCTTCTTCTCTTTCTCGTCCATTCTTTTTTTCTCTTCCTGCACTCTTATCTCTCTTCGCTCATTTTTTCCATCCTTTGCCTCTTTTTTTCCTTCATCCATCCTTTTCTTCCATAGTCTATTCTTTTCTTTGATCACCTATCTTTCCATCTACATATATTTTTTTTTTCTTTTTTTCTCGTCCCTTTTTCTTTCTTTGTTCTTCCATTTTTTCCTCACCCCTTTTTAGCACTTTACAAATATGTTTAATGACTGTAGCAGTAAATTCTTTGCTATTATCTAATTTTAAAATTGATAATACTACCAACAGGAAGAAATAAAAATCCAAGATTTTACCAAAAGCATCTACTTTTTTTGTTTTTATAAGAACAGTCTATAAAATTTTTTTAAAAAAATATAGACAATTGTAAAAAGCTAACAAAATCTATTATTTACATCCTTATAAGCTATAAAGTTCATATGATCTATTTTATTAGGCTGTAACTTATAATAGAAGTTAAGTTATTCTTCTCTTTTATGATAATACACAATTATACATATTGTAGTTACAGACATTTTCATAAATTTATTCTTTATAACACTAATATAATTATTAACAATTTCTTATAACAATTTATATGACAGTTAAGAATGTAAAATTGATGAAAAAGGAATTAATAAAAGTCAATATTCCACACAGATACAAGTTGATATAATTGCTAGCTTAGAGTTTAAATACTGAGACTATAGTCCATTTTATGTTTAAAGTTTTAATGATATTTTAGTTTTATAGAAGATAGTATAATTCTATCACAAAGGTAAATAATAATATCTTGGTATGCAGCAGGTGTTTTTGGAAAAGGAACATCCATAATTTACATTAAACCAGTACAATATTGTATAAAAATAGAGTCTTTGAAGATAATTTCATATAGTATTATTTTTGTATTATCTTTAAGATCCCTATAACAATGCCGGTTTAACGTAAATTATGGACGTCCCCTAAGTGGTATATAAGGGTAGACAATACGAATTTCGGGTTCTCTTTACCCTACTTAAACTTCACTAGTCTTGGGTTTTATAACGATTACTTCTTATACGATTATTGGGACAGAAAGTGGGTCTACTGGGACCGTTTTGGGATAGAAAGGACAACATTTAAAGGAACAACTTCTACAATGATTTCGAAGTTTTCAAACTCTAATGAGTTATCTTTTATTCAAGACGAGTTAGAGGCCCTTATATAATGGATTTTACAGACTAAAAAGTGAGCGAATTCACTCTCTTACTTTGCTTACTTCCCTCACTCGCTTACTTTCCTTACTTTGCTCACTTTACTTACTATTCTACCCATAAAAGGAACTTTATCGTCATAACCAAAAAATATGACAATTAAAGAATATAAACTAAAAATAGAAATAGATGGCCAACACAGCCTAATTTTGAAAGGGTGACACCAATTTTAACCGTCACAACATACGTATGTACAGTCGCCTCACAAAGTACGATTACACGAAAAACATAATAAAAAAGCAACGCAAATCAAGTTAATATATTGCGTATAAGATTACAATATTAATGCATAATGATTATGCAGTATATATCGTTATCGATATATTAAATATCAGTATCCACAATCATGACCATTATTATGAATGACTTCACTAATACAATTTGACATATTATTAATTTTAACGTACGCATTTTTGCATAAATTTTTGTTTTTTTTTGTTTTTGTGTAACCATTTAAACTTCGTACGCACGTACGGATATTCTGCAGTGTGATGCAAAAAACCTTAACGTTAAAACTACATTATCCTTTATAGAAATTAATATTTCCTAAATTATTAACACCAATAAAGATGCATGTAAAACTTTATTAAAGTCGATAATTTAGGAAATGGTCAACTTATGTTCAACTTTAATGTGTTACTTGATTATGCATTACGTTAGCTCTATAGAAATTGCGGATTAATTTCTTTTTGCTTAAGTATACAGTCAACCCTCTATATAATCACTTAGTTGGGAGTTTTTTAAAAATGTGCTTATAAAGAGATTGTGCTTATACAGAGGTTTTTTTTATATATTTATAGTAGTTTATTTAACAAAATTAAGTGCTTATATAGAGGTGTTATTATAAAAAATGTGACTATATAGAGGTCTGACTGTAATAAATAATCTGTAATGTAAAATAAGTTAATTACTCTTAAATTTATTCTGTTTGTATCTATAAGGTGGTAATTGTGATTTTGATATTTCTTGCACCGTACCGTACAGCACTGCATGTAATACCTCGCTGAAGAAGTATCCACTTTAAAATAGTATAGGGTACTATTCAATTGTAATTTGACATTTTTGGAAAGGCGTACGTACGTACTAATCTGATTGCTGAATCAATTATTCTGTCATGAAATTAACTTATGTGAGAAGGAAAAAAAAGATTGAACTTTATTTTTTGGCAAATCTAAAAAGGAATTTTATCTAAGTCTATATACCTGCAGGAAAGATTATAGAGCTACAGCATTTGGCTCGGTTTGTTTTTAATCAAGACTTTTAAAATAAGCCGCACAGGTAAAACAATAAACCTTTCGATAAGTATTCTTCAACTTTCTAAATATTTGTAAATATTTTCTACCGGTTTAAATTACAAGTGAAAAAGTTGTGGAAAGAATCTAGATAGTATAGCATATATTCGGAAAAGAATACTTTAAAAAAGATTTGCTGTTCCACCTATGCAGTTTCTTGTCGGCTCTAATAACCATAATAACTTGGTCCATCATATATCAAGATCACAAATTATTTATGGAATTAATTTTATGGTAATGGATTTAAGTTTAAATATCCAATATACCAGAGGTCCGCTAAAAAGGGTTATTTCAATAAGGTAGCTGTGCAACATTGTCGCGCAAACTAGGAACAGAAGGTATGATTTCGGATTTGCATGCAAAGTGAGTTGAGTACTAATTACACTAATTAGAAATAAAAAAATTTAATGAGTTATATTTATTGGTATAATTTATATTTCAAAAAAACGTTTGATAAAAATGAAAACAATAAAAAGACTTAATAAATGTCACGGATGATTATGAAATCTGGATCATCGTGAAATTCCAATTTTTAAAATTTTTTTGGGGTATAATTTTTTAGGCTTTTTTTTGAATCCGGACTAGTATTAGGGTTAGGGTTTATAATAAAAGAGTATAAGTAGGCTTTGTTGGGGTTGTGAGGGCTTATATTTTTAAATTAAGGCCCTAGATTTCATGATGATCCGATTTCACCATAATCCGCGACAATAAATACGCCTTTTTTAAACATAGCCCTACAATAAATTACCAGAATGATCTTTCTTATTTATTTTATAAAGTATATAAAGAAATGAGATTTATTTATGTGTACAGTCGTCTTTCCATACAATCACCTCTTACATAATCACAAACTCTATATAATACATGATTTTGTTTGGTTAATATCGAATAAGGTAGCTGCGCGACGCTGTCACGCGAAACCAGGAAGAATTACTCGATTAGATAATTTGGATATGGTGCAAATTATCTAAAACATCCAAACTTGCTACTCTTCATATATTTCAAATTTCACAATCCTCTTATTGTAAAATTATCGCATGTCACGATGGGGTGTGCGATGCACTATGTAAATCAAGACTATGTTGTGTTATCATATAAAAATCTATTATCAAAGATTTTCGTGTAACCATATCGATCTCTGATTTTATTAATTAAATAAGGTAGCTGCGCTAAAACCAGGAACGTAATTCAACGATATTTGCAATTATACAAGAGTAGATAAGCTCTACCAGAACACCTACATCACATGATAAATCATTCGTCCTAAGTTAGGCTTAGTGTGGGTAAGGTGATAGTTTAGTTTAGACCGATTTTGTTAATCCTAGTAAACAAACGAAGTAATCGCATGATTTCACGTGATGTTATGATCACAGGGTTCATCGTTCTTGTAATGCCTGCTTTTTGACCATGCTTTTTGTCTAATGCAAAATTGATTTTAAACGAAAAACCGTGATTTACAGTTATCGTGCAAACTCTTATGATCATAGATTTTTTTCTTCTTGTTATTTTTTGTACGTTATTACATAAGCACAACAATCTCGAATTAAAACTCAGTTAGCCAATAATGACCTGCAAATCATGATCATAATTGCATGACCAATATCTTATAATTATCAGCATGTTTTTATATAGTGAAGTTAAACAGTCATCAAAAGTCAAAAGTATCGCTCTAGATCAAAAGTTACCGAATGTTTAAGTTGACAAGAATGTAGATCATTAAGTCATGCCATCATTCAAGATTTGTGGACGAAAACGCTACGTTCCTGATATGCACACATGCACACACCCCCTACCTATAAAATCACGATTTCAAGATCTCGTTGCACGTGTAAAAAAGGAAGTAGATCACTGTGCATTTTATACAAAAGTAAGGGCACTAATCAGAATCGAGATTTTGTGGACGAACGCAAAACTCGAATGGAACCATACACTCCGTTCCACTCCGTTCCTGGTAAATGTTTCGATGACTCTTAATACTGCATATTATATTTAAATCTGTTGGTATGGATGATGCTAGTACAATATTCAGCCTTGGACATTGTATCTAAATGGAATAGGAGTTAGAAAAGATGAACATAAGGCATTCGAATATTACCAGAAAGCTGCGGAGATGGGATATACTAATTCAATTTATAATGTTGGTGTTTGTTATGAAGTTGGAATAGGAGTTGAAAAAGATGAATATAAGGCATTTGAATATTATCAGAAAGCTGCTGATTTGGATCTTGCTGCCGCAATAAATTTAGTTGGACACTGCTATGAAAATGGAATAGGTGTTGAAAAAGATAGCCATAAGGCATTTATTCATTATCAAAAATCTGCTAATATGGGAGAAGTTAATACAATATACAGCCTTGGAGATTGTTATCTAATTGGGATATGAGTTGAAAAGGATGAACATAAAGCATTCATCAACTATCAAAAATCTGCTGATATGGGTGATGTTGAAGGAATATATCAAGTCGGATACTGCTATCAAAATGGAATTGGAGTTGAAAAAAATAAGAATAAGGCATTTCTATATTATCAGAAATCAGC